TGGAGCAGCTTCTCACAGAAATCCCATGAGATGTGGAGCCACTTCCATTCGAAGCGGGTTCAGGATCGGGGGCCTGGAACAGAAGTCTGCTGCAGATCGGTTCACCTTTTTTGTATCGGGGTCCTTTTGAAAATGGAGACGCCTCTATTGGATGTGGTTGAGATATATACTTAAAATGATATGGTTAAAGGCGGAACCGCCTGCAAGAGAATATTTCCGGGGATGAGAGCACCTCCGCGCAATTATGGTTCAATGTGTACATCACGCACCAAAAGTAACCCTATTGTGAAGTCGCACGACGGGGTTTAATGCGTAATCCACCCAGTACAATTCAATTTGTGAATCGCGCACAAAATGGATCCGACTGGAAGGTTGCAAAACATGGTGTGATGTGTCATATACACCATATAATTCAAATCAAGATGGAAGTTACCGACCAAAAGCAATCCGATTGAAACGCCGCACGCGAGGATTCTATGTGCCATGTACACCACAGAGACCGATGTGTGACTCGCCCACAAACATGGTGTCCTTCTGAGAGGGAGCCAGGACGAGTTCTGGACCTTCCTGGGGGAGGAGGACAAGGACAAACAAAACAACAGCGCCGCCCTTTCGTTTTGATAAGGGTGCGGGCGGGGCGGGGAGGAAAGACCACGAACATGAGGATGGGCGGCGATATGTCTCTCTCCGGGAGGTCCAAGATCTGTTCGAGCTCCTTGTCAAAAGGAGCTAGTTGTGTGGGCAACTCACGTCTTGACATCTGTTGTGCGGATCACACGTGGAATCCTTTTGGTGCGGCTTTTCAAACAGATTCCTTTCGGTGGGCGATGGAAAACAAGAACGAGCCTTTCTGCCGCGACCTGCAAGAGGAACGCAGCGTGTGTTCCACGGGAAGCCCATGCCATCCATTTGTGTTTGAGCGCACTTAATTTTCTTCCCTCTTCTTCCGTCATCAAATAAGGCTACGTACTCACAGCGCTCCTTCTTGCGACGCTGAGACCGCGCGCAAGGGCGAGTCTGCCGCCCCCTCATCCTCTTCCTCCTCCTCCTCCTCCTCCTCCTCCTCCTCCTCTTACGTACCTCCCTGGCAACGCAGTCCTCGCCTCTCCTCCCAATCCGTTTATCTCCCCAATCATTTTTTTTAGCCGCCATGGAACGGAGGAAACGGATTCTGAGTGACACGGGTCCTTGGTGTCCTTCGCCGTCTTCGGGGCCTCCGGGCCCTCCACGGGGTCTCCAGGCCATCCGCAACGACTCGGGATGAAGAGCTGGTCTTCGGGAATGCCCCAGTAAAAAGCATGCGGTGCGATCCTCCTCCTCCTCCTCTTCGCCTACTCCTCCTCCTCCTCCTCCTCCTCCTCCTCCTCCTCCTCCTCCTCCTCCTCCTCCTCCTCCTCCCCCACCCCCGTGTCCTCGGGAAGGCCCCGGGGTCCAAGGCCAGTTTCCATCAGGACGACCCGCCTCCCACATTCCTCTCACCCCGAGCCACAAGCGCAGGAGGAGGGCCGGGAGGAGGAGGAGGAGGAGGACAAGGGAGGAGGAGGAGGAAGAGGAGGAGGAAGAGGAGGAGGAAGAGGAGGAGGAGGAGGAGGGAGGAGGAGGAGGGAGGAGGAGGAAGCGCAGGTGGAAGACGAGGAGGAGGAGGACGACGACGACGGAGGTGGGTCGGGACCAGGAGCATTGCACCGCAACTCGGCATCGAGGCAACTGCCAGAATGCAGAGCGCAGTGGTGTAGATGCTGTTTTTGCAGGTGCCCGTCGTTGGCGAGCCGTGCGCACAGCAGCCAACACCCGGCCATCGCATGCAGGCTGCTGGATCTCTTGGCTTGCGTTGTCGCCCAGATCAGTTATCCTCCTTCTCCTCTTCCTCCTCCTCCTCCCCCTCCTCCTCCTCCTCCTCCTCCTCCTCCTCCTCCTCCTCCTCCTCCTCCTCCTCCTCCTCCTCCCCCTCGTCCTCCTCATCCTCCTCATCCTCCTCCTCCTCCTCCTCCTCCTCCTCTGTGCCTGGGACACTCCCGCCTCGAGGAGCATGACGTCCCTCTCTGCGGGCCGCCGACCCCCTGCTTGCCCCCCGGCCTCCCGCCTTTGTGGGCCCCGCTCCTCATCGCCCCTCGCGTAGTTACAGTCAACCCACATGACCATGTCTCTTTGCGAGCGGGGCGCGAGCGAAAGCGGCCCAGGATGGGCCGAGGGTGAAGGATGCCAGGGCAGCCTTGGAAGGTCACTCATCCTTACAAGGCGGGTTGCCTGTAGTTACTGATGTCCTCGCCGGAGACCCTGCGTGGCCGCCCTGGGTCAAGGGAGGAAAAAACACCCGGACCCGATCGTTGGCGTCCGATCATTGGCGCTTGCTAGACGGCCCTGGGCGCTCACTCTAAACAGCCTTGCTCTGTTCGATTTCTTCTGTGGGTGCAATCACTGAACGGCTTCGCGTGTCGGGGTGATTCTTGTTATGTCGGGCCTGTCCCTCTACAGGAGAAGTATTCAAACATAGTAGAAAATCTGGGGATGATTTGTTGATCCCTTTGGAGCATTTTTGACATGTTTTGGATATATTCTAGTTTTCGTCCAAAATCCGCCGGTAGGGGGACATGCCCAACCTACCACCAGGCGATGGGGACGATGCTTGAGCATTCTTCTTTGTGCTTGAACATTTATGGACGATGTTTACTTGTTCCTCCCAAGCTCGCCTGTATGGGGGACATGCCCGACCTACGACGATTGTGGGGGGGGGACTTTCTGCCCTCTGCTGGGCGCGGGCTGCACGCACACCCGCGCGCTCCGGGGAGGGCCGCGCCGCGGGCGCCACAGAGCTCGCCCTCCGGCAGCCGAGCCGGCGGCAGCATAGCGGCGGCGGCTCCGCGGGGGCAGAGCCAGCGGCAGGGCCAGCGGCAGGTGGGCGCAAGGCGGCGCAGGGCCAGCGGCCCCGAGCGCCCTCGAGCGTGGCCGCGAGCGCGCGGTCTATTCGTGTTCTACCCGCCCCCCCCCCCCCCCCCCCGCGGAACTTTTTTTTTAATCGTGCCGCTCCCATTGTTGTTTTATCGCGTGCCCCCATTAACCGACCGCCCCTGACATTGAGTCCCCATGGGATAGGGGAAGTTCGGGGCAGAGGGAGGGGGGTTAATGAACGTTTTCCCGGAGGTCTCAGCACAACGATGAAAACGATGATGATGCTGATGATGATGAAAGTGATGATGATGATGATGATGATGATGACGACAGTGATGGTGGCGATGATAATGAAGGTGATAATGACATGAATGATGAGGGTGATAATGAGGATGCAGCTTATGATTAGTATGATGACGATGGTCATGATGATGGTGGTGACGGAGATGACGATGATGATGCTGATGATGATTAGATGATGATGATGGTGATGATGATGAGGGTGGTGATGATGATGGTGATGATGAGGATGACGAAGATGATCTTGGACGCTCCATAGGAATCCTTAGGAACTCCGTTGAGAAGCTCCAAAATGACGCCCCATAGAAATCCAGAACAGTGAGAAGCCAGCCTCGCCATGGGAGAAGCGGGTCCTCAGGCTTTTCACCGTTTTCGGGCCTTCGGGGCCCTCCACGGGCCCCAGGACGATCAGAAAACGGTTCAGGATGAGAAGTTCATCCTGGGGGAAGGCCACGGGGTCCAGGCCGTGCCCCTCAGGACCCGCTTGTTGTGTGGAGGGAGGGGGGTCACGGTTTCCGCGGGCGGCCAAATACAGACGCATGTCTTTCCAGCTCTTGGCTTAAGCCGGGAAGATGCACAAGTAGTACAAACATAGTCCAGGGACGCTGTTTTGACTAATTTTGACTCGCTTTGATTTCTTTGGGATATTCGCAAACCTTCGCCGAAAAAATCGCCTGTAGGAAGACGCGACCGACCTAACACCTGGCTCTCGCGTGGCCAGGTCGGCGCCCCTCCCCCCCGCATGGCATGTGTGTCTCCAGCGCGCGGCCACTTAGATGTGCCGACTGCGAATCCAGGCACGTGTGTGCGTGTCGGGATGGAAAAAAAACGAAACACACACACACACACACACGCAGACACAATGAATCGTCGGTCCACCGGAAAATATGGGAAGGTATGGGATTTAGGGGGGGAGACGAACATCCCAAACACATGGAACAATATTGGGAATCCTGGGGTCTGTGCCTATTGACTCGTGTGTCCCGGGGCATCCGCGCGGACCGCTCCAGATTTGCAGAGTTGCGTGCCGTCTGGGGCTCTTCCGCTGTCCACGCCCCGTCCTCGCCCTGCCTCGTGCGCAGTCCAGACGCTCGTCCTCGCCCTGCCCGTACGTGCGGCCAAGACGCTCACATGAGGAGCACTTTGGCCTCGGGAGGGGCTCTGGCTTCCGGGCTGCTCCTCTGCTTCCCGGTCGGGAAGCCGATTCCCCGCCGAGGCCCGCTGTGGTTCCGAGCGCCGCTCCGCTCCGTGTCCGGCGGCCCCCCGCCGCAGCCCGAGGACGACTGCACCTCCCCCCCCCCTTGGCCTTCTCCCTGGGCAGGGGGGCGGCCGCGAGGCCGCCCCCGCTCCTCCTCCCCCTCCTCGCCTCGCGCCCCGTCCGCCCGTCTGCACTGGAGCGGCGCAGGAAGGCGGGGGGTCGTCTTCGCCGACGCTGGCGCGCAGGCGTCCCGCGCGAGGTCCTCGCTTCCAGCTCGGCGCGTGCCGCGGTGAGCGGCCCGCGCAGGCCTGCGGCGCAAGGTCGCTGGGCCATCTCGTGCACTAGTTGCCCGCTTCGTCTCGTCGCTCGCTTGTGCCTCGCCGCTCCATCTCTGGACTCGCCTCCTCCCCCTCCCCCTCCTCCTCCCCCTCCTCCTCCTCCTCCTCCTCCTCCTCCTCCTGCGTGCCCTGCTGCGGTCATATCCCGTTTCCTTTCAGCTTGATGTCATCCTCCGTCTTCTCGGTTCTCATGCTGTCCGTTGCCCTCCCGACACGTCCTCCGTTCCCTTGCGTCCATGCAGGTGACCGTCGGCTCTCGACGAGGCACCATGGCCATGCAGCAGGACCTGGGTTCTGCACGATGGATGGAGGGGGCGATAGAGGATATACTCGAGGCTGGTATCTGGGGACTGGCGACGTCGTGGTGACGGGACTCAAGGCTCTGCGGAAGGAAGGGCCGAAGGGCCCAGAAGGTCCACACAGTCCAATTGGGAGCCCCAAGAAGGGGAGGAAGAGGAGGAGAAGGAGGAGAAGGAGGAGGGAGAGAGGGGAGGAGGAGGACCAAGGCAAACAGGAGAGAGAAAGAGCGACAAGGAGCCTTGAGCTTGGCGATGACATTGGCCTCTGGAGAACCTGCCACGACACTCGACGTGGCCCAAACGTCCTGAGTACGTTCGTGTGTTTGGAGAACTTGCGTTTGATATTCCGTAGGCCAGTGCGGGGAAGCGTAGCCTGGGAAGCACCCGCGAGTGAAGACGCGCTGTCGCCTACGCTGCGTGTGTTTCGCAAGCGTTGCTGTGCAGTTGTATGACATGCCGCTTCAAGCTGGGATTCGAAGCTTGGGGCAACAACCTGTGCTATTCAATATCAGAGTAAGGGGGCCGAACGGTCATTCACCGTCCCTGGGTTCGTGGCTGAAGCGGGACCCCGCGGCGCGGATTATGTTTGTTGTTGGTGGTGGTTGTGATGGTGGTGTTCTCGTTGTTGTTGAATTCTCATGTCTAAGCAAGAAGTATGGTTCATCCCCCAAGCCGACTGCATTGTGATCTGGGAAGTGGCGTCTCAAGAGGCGATCAGCTTCAGCCAGGAGTGCAGTCTCAGCACCGCGTGGCGTCCGTCTGGCTGGCAATCTGGTCAGCGCGCAGCTGCTGTGATGGCAGCCAAGGGACCTGCGGCAGGGTCCAGAAATCTCGGCGGCCGGCTGCTCTCCACGATGTTGTTCGCCGTCATCACTCCGCTGCTCTCGGACTCGGCTGCTCAGGACCGACAGCACGGGGAGCTGCGACCGAGACCTGCGACTCCGGCGGCTGCGCGCGCCCAACGGGGCCAGGCACGCCCCCCGCGCGCACGACCAAAGGGCTCCCCGTCCGCACTCTCCTCTTGGCCTCGCCGTGCTCGGCCCTGCTCCGTCGCGCTGGGTCGCAGGGGGGCGACCGCGGCCTCGCTGTCCCGCGCCACGGCTGGCTCCGTGGGGCTGCCTGTCTCCGAGCTCCCGTCGGCGGCCCCAGCCTTCTTACTCGGGCCGGACGAAAGGGGGGGATTGGGACAGGGGGGGTTACGAAATTTGCGGCGTGCAGCTGGTTTCGGCCTCACCGAGGGGGCCCATTCTTTGATACATAGCCGCCTCTGGCGCCGGGAGGCGCCCGGAAAATCAGCTACGTGAGCTGATTCTCAACCCCCCCCCTTTGCTATCCCCCCTTTCGCCCGACCCGACTTATGCTCGGTGGGAACCTGGAGGTCCGCGGGGCCACCCTCCACGAGCGTGTCCGCACCGACGATCGGCCGCGGGCTGTCGTCCGCGGCGATGGGCCCCTCGCGGACCGCAGCTGGCCACCTCGATCGGTTGTCTCGGCTGCAACGGCTGGCTCAGCGGGGGTGTGGGGCGGAAGTGGAGAGCGAGGTGGGCTCACAGCAACACTAGGGGGGGGAATCTCGAGCACGGGTGACGCCTCCGATGGATCCCGTTTCTCCTGCGCGATGGGCTGCTTGCCCTCAGTACCGGTTGGGGGCATCGATCTGCGCGGCGCCATCGGAGGTGCAGTGCGCCGCCCGACGCGGTATGCTGGCGCGCAGTCAGTCACGTCACCACCCCACTCGTGAACTTGGGATGGCAAGGCTGCCAAGTGATGGTGGCGCGCGGTCCGGTGGCTCCCCCTTTGGCCGTGCACCCCTGGGGTGTCCTGTCCTTGCCCGCGGGAAGTTTTTCTTCGGGGGGAGTGCGTGCTGGGGGGAGTGCGTGTTGGGGGGAGACGAGACTGGGGAGTTCTCCCGCGCTTGCGCGTGTGCTTCTTAGTTTGTGTGTTTCGCTCGCTGTCTTGCTCGCTGTCCCCCTCTTTCTCTTCTCCCGCCGCCGCCGTCGCTTCCCCTCCCCGCTTCTCTTCTTTGCAACGTAACGGAGTCTATGCATGCGTGGGGCGAGCCGATCCGTCCGTAGTCGATTCGAGCGGCGATTTCCGCCACTCCTCTCCTCTGCGGGCCGAGCTGACCCGGCCCCGAGGGTGATTTCTAGCATTCTTTCTAATTGGGCCGAGCTATGTCAGTCGACAAGGCCACATCCTGCGTCTGCGTCGGCTGTGCCTGTTGGGTAGTCCTGCTCATTTTTCTGTCTCCTCCCCTCTTCTCTTCCTCTTCTTCTTCTTTTTCTTTTTGTTTTCCCTCCTAAGTTTACGTAGTCATTCACGGAGCTCGGGCTCTGCTCTGAAATTTTGTGTCGGTCGCGCGTGACGGCTCGCCTATCGCAGGTTGGCCCGAACGCAGCGCCAAGAGTTTTGGAGCACGCTATCCCCATTCTCTCTCCCTCCTCCTCCTCCTCCTCCCCCTTCTCCCCGGCGCCCCCTGTGGTGCGTTTGGTGTATGAATTTATAGCATCCGGGCAAAAGTGCTCGCTCCCGCCTCGGCGCCTGTAGCAGTTTTGGAACGCTGGGGGGCCCGATGCTGTGATTTTCCAATCCGAGCGCCCTCTCCAAAAACACCGGGTGTCGCTGAAGACCGGTGTTTTTAATCTGTCCGGCCGGCTGGGCTTTTAAGCCGGTGGCTCTTTCCCTCACCGGTGCTTCTTTACTTATGGGATGTTGTTGTAAATCAAGTCACTGGTCCGTCTCTGCCGCGTCCTGTCACGGAGTGCACGGGTCACTCGAGCGATGTCGTGGTCGCCTCTCTGTCCGAACAAAAAAAAGACTTGGGTTGGAGGGGCGGCTGTGTTTGGAGAGAGAGTCGGGTCCCATAAGTGAGGAGCAGGAGGAGTCAGGAGATGAGCAAGGACCCAAGACGCGCGTTGTGCCTTCTTCGGACGTGCACTTCTGATGTTTGCACTCTGGTGACGTTTTTTCACTGGGGCCCCGTTTCAGCAACAACATCTGTGTTGTTTTGTTGGCCTCGACCTCTCGATCAACAGACGCATCGTCTGAAGACAAACCCCGTTGCCAATGCAGCGGCTACACTAGCTGAACGGCTGTTGCAAAAAAAGGGGGTCGGACCAGTTGAAACCGTCGCCACGCCTCGGCTAATCGGACGTCGCGACTTTTGAGATCAGAGAGGGGTCTTAGATGTTTTGAACTACTGCAGGGGGTGGACTGGGGAGTGAGTGAACGGCTGCACAACTCAGCCCAGAAGCACCCCCCTCACCGACGTCCGAACCCTCCGACTCCACAAAGCTCGGCGGGCTCAAGAGGCCGCTCTTCGGCCAACAGAGCTCGAGCTTGTAGCGCCTGCTGTTCGGGATCGGAACCTTCCTGAAGCCAGGCTGCGGCTCGCCCTCCACCACAACCGCCGACTTGTCTACGGTCGCCATGTTCTTGCCGCCCTTGTCGTTGCCCTTCCCGGTGTCCTCATGGCGCGCTGGTTCTGGCGATGCACAACGTTCAGGTCGAGCAGGTGGAGTCGTCAGGGCCTCGTGGTCCTCCGCGGCGTCGGACTTGATGTCCGCTGCGTCCTTCGGGGCGCCCTCGGTGTTCGGGTTGCTGGCTGCTGGCTCGCTGCTCGCTTTGTTTTTCTCGGTCGTCGCATCGTCCGTCTGGCTGGAGGTGCCCGCGTCTCCGCGTTTGGCTGCCCATGCCTCGGTGTATTGTTTCTTCTCCTCCTCAGCCTGCTTCTTCGTGATCGCCCCTTCGAGGTGGCGAACCGCCCGCGCCGTCATGTACTCCAGCGTGGCCTGCTCCGACTCGAAATATCTGCAGTTGGTTTGGAAGAAGTTGCTGCCGTTTTTCTGCCCCCTACACAGGCTCTTCTTGACCGATCCCCTGGCCCCGTCCCAGATGAAATTGACCGTGTAGACGTCGTCCCCCTTGGCCTGCTCCCACCTCAACTTGTGTTCCTGCTTCGGCTTGCTCTCCCTTCCCCGTGTTGCCCTACGACTTCTCCTTCTCCGACTGGGGGATGTTCGCTGCGTCGCCGTCGTCGCTCGGTGCAGCCTTGTTCCACATGGCAACCGTGCACATCGGCATCTCACGCTCGAGGCCGCCCTTCCACGCAGCCCCCACCGGGTCGCACCGCCTAGAGCGATCTGGAACGCACACGTTCGTGGAGAATTCGATCGCAGCTTTCTTGCCCCGGTCGGTCCTCTTGCGCCAAACCGACCGCATCGCAATGTCAAAGCCGAACTCCCAGACGTCGTCCTCGGCATTGGGCTGGGCTTCTCCAGAACTGCGATCGGGAGTCTTCTCAGTCAGCTTGACCCGCTTCTTCTGGTTGCCAGCGCTGTCGCCGTCGCCCTCCGCGGTGCCGCTGCTCGGCGAGGCTGCTGTCGGGCGGCGCTTTGCCACCAGAGGCTCGTCGTCGTCGGATTCGATGGCGCCGAAGCCGAGGGAGGCGAACCACGCCAGCGGCCTCTTCTGCAGCTTGTAGCTCTGGACGTGCTTGCAAAGCGAACAAAAGTACAAACATGCAGGAGGTCTGGCAAGGTGGAGGTGGGCAGGGTGGGAATCGATCAGAAAGAGGTGGACAGGAAGGGGATGGAGGTGGGCAGGGTGGAGGTGGAGGTGGGCAGGCAGACGGGGCTCTTCCTGCTCCTCCTCATCCTCCTGCTCATTGTTATCCTTCTCTTCGTCCTCATCCTTCTCATTTGTTCCTCCACTCCTCCTCCTCCTCCTCCACCTCCTCCTTATCCTCCTCATCCTTTCTACTCTTTGAGTATCCTTGTCCCCCACCTCCGTGAGTTGATGCCCCTGTGCCTGCACAACGTCCTGACGCGTTCGCCCTGCTCCGTGGCCCACTCGTCCAGGTGTTTGGAGTTCAGCTTGACATCCTTCCCGTCTGAAGCCACCTCCCTGAGAGCCTTCTCCATAGCAGACTGGGTGAAGCTCAGGTTGGTGGCGACCTGTTGGCGCGCCGTCCCGCGGATATTTCTCACCGCCCTCCTCACCCTTCTTGTCGCTGACACTTGTTTCCGAAGCTTATTTTCCTCCTCCTCCTCCTCCTCCTCCTCCTCCTCCTCCTCCCCCGCCTCCTCCTCCTCCTCCTCCTCCTCCTCCTCTCACTCCTCCTCCTCCTCTTCCCCCTTCTCCTTCTCCTCCTCCTCCTCCTCCTCGCCCAGGCGTTTTTTGTTGTTGGGGGGGCGGTGGTTTAAACAAAACAGGTGGACCTCCTGTAGCGACAGCGCCATGTCTCTGTGCGCCTCGACCTTCTCCTGCTCGATGGAACTTTCGTCCATATTGTTGCCGTGAACGAGAACGGCGGCACAATCAACGTACTCCGCGATTGCAGTAGCGATGGGCTCTGCGTCGGAGCACGTTCTGCGAGCTGTCATGCTCTCGATGGAAGATGGGCTGCATAAATCACTTGAGCCCTCGAGGCTCTCCAGCAAGAGACCGAAAAGCAAGCCAGGTACGCACGCCTTCTCTCCCATCCCATGAGAACACACATCGCCGATTGCATCACATCCGCAACCATGCTCTTTTGCACGGCGATGGGTGGTATAGTATCTGTACTGTCAGGTTTCTGTGCGTCTCGCAAGACAGCCTTGGATAAGTTTCAACCCCTCCGTTTCCATTTGCAAACCATGAACTTAGACACGTTATCTATAGCGGTTACCTGGCGAGGCGTAGAATGAGGATGCGATCTGCACATACATAATATACATATATATACACACATGTTGATATGTTGTGGACGCTGTAAATCGAGTTGTGCAAACAGAAGCCACATTCTAAGCCATGCAACACAAAACAAGCAACGCAACATACAACTAGCAATACTATGTCAAAGCTTAGGCTAAGCATTACAGATCCTCGGGGGGGCCGTGCGCTGTCTCGCGGAGCGGGGCGCGCCGCGGCTCGGAGCGGCGCGAGGCAGCGGCGTCCCCACGGCACGCCAGAGCCCTCCGGGCCGCCGTCGCGCAGGAGGCCGACGACAGAATCGAGCTCCCCCCGCATCGAGTGTTTGCTTTTCTTGCGTTCCCTACCTAGGCTCTGCCTAGAAGGGTTCTTACTGTCTTTGCTTAAAGGGGCCAGGCAGTGGAACCCGCCCCGGGCGGTTCCCCCCGTACCCTGGGAGCCAAGCAAAAGCAACAGCAAAGGTAAAAGCAAACGCGCGGTTCCCCCAGTTGCGCTCCCTGGGTGCCAAGCAAGGGCAAAAGCAAAGGCAAAGTGAAGGCAAAAGCGAAGGCAAAGCAAAAGCATAGCATAGCAGAGCAGAGCATAGCATAGCATGGCACTGCTCCTACTAATGTTGCTTTCCTAGATGCTCCAACTCCTAGGTAGGGTCGCACTGGGATAATATATATATATATATATATATATGTATATATGTAGCTCGAAGAAGAAGAACCTGCTTCTTCTTATCCGAGAGAGAGAGAGAATAATAATACTATTATTATTAATTCTTTCCCGGAGAAGAAGAATATTCTTCTTCTTCTGAAAAAAAGAAGAAGGATAACAAAAAACGCTGCAAGCATGAACTGGTGGCGCGGGGGGGGGTTCAGCGCAGATCCAAGAAAGCCGCGCGGAGCGCGAAAAGGTTATGGTTATGGCGTTTCTCCTTTTTCTTCTATAAACATCGATCGTCTCCCTCGTCGGGCCCGCGAGCAATGCACATAATGCTCCGTAGATGTACGGAACATACTGAAGATGCGTTCACTGGTGCGGCGGCAAAGCATGCTTGGGGCAAGTCACTTTTGTAGTCGTTCCTTTTCTCGAGTGCTCGAGGAATAGACAGTGGCATTAGGCGTTGAAGTTCGGATCCGTTTGGGCTCAGGATGGGTTCTGATTGTCGGGTCGTTCCTTGAGTTTGGGTCGGGGGACCAATTCGTGACCCAGGCTCGCCGTGACCAGGGAGGCCCCCTTGTTCCATAGCTTGCGCTCCTTATCGTGGTAGCACGCTGGTTGTAAACATAGGCTTTCGGAGATCCGCGCGGACCTCCGAAAGCTTCTGGTTATGACAATGCGTGGTCTCCGAAGAGCTCCGCGAACGTCCACACCATGCTGGCCCAGTGCCTTTTCTGCTCGATTCGCTCGCTGACGCACGCTCATCAGCATCAAGCTCGTCACGTCGATCGTCAGGGCGCTGCTGGACGCGGCGCCGCTGGCAGCGCGGCCATGCGGGCCAATCCGTTGATGCATATGGTAGTTCAAATTGACAGACGGTCGTAGGGCCGATCTATATATATATATATATATATAGTAATGACTGATCCGTGTGCGCATCCGAGCGGATGGCATCGGCGCCTCTCGAAATGCGTGGCCATCTCGGACTCTGAGAGGAGAGGGTCACGTACCGCGTGTAGTGGCAACCGAACGCAGTAGTTCTGCTTCCCATACGCTTGCCGAGCTGCAGGCCTGTTGGTTACTAAGACCCCAATCACCACCATCAGCATGACCACTAGCATCACCACCACAATCGCCCCATGGATCTTCAAAAGGGCCTGCAGCCTTAATTTCGCACGGTCAGCGCAGATTATTTCGTCATCTCTCCTCCTCCCTCTCGTTCTCCTGATCCTCCTCTCCTCCCCTGCGCCCCGATGAGCCCAGCAGTATTTATGGCACCGGCCCCGATGGGTCAAGTGGCAAAGCCAGACCTCAGTGTCTTTGCGTCCTGGAGCGAAGCAAGATCTGTTGCGAAGCTGAGCGCTGGTCCTCTTCCTGCAGTGGAGGCGCATGCCAAGAAACACCCTGCTCGCCGCCAAGGTGCCATGGGTTTGGGTGTCGATGTTTAATGCGATGGAAGGCGTGACGTTCCCACGCCAAAAACCCATGCACTTCCTTGGGTCTCAGCGTTGAGTTTCTCGTGGGAGGTTTCTTGTGGTCGGGCCCCTATTGTACCTTCTGCGCTCGCTCGAGTGTCCGGCCTTCGCGACCTTTCGGACCTCGTGCCGATGCGAGGCCTTCTCGCACATCGCCGTCAGCCGTGCCCTGTGATCCAGGCACCGCCCGCTGCGGCCTGCGCTCTCGCGAGGTCATGCTCACCCCCCACCGGGGGCTCCTGTCAGAGTCTGTCGAGGAGACTGTTTGGATGCAGAGGGAGAGAGAGAGAGAGAGAGAGAAACAAAAAACAAACAACAAAAAAAACAGTGAGAGATAGAGAGGCAGAGAGAGAGAGAGAGAAAAAACAAAGAGAGAGAGAGAGAGAAAATAGAGAGAGAGAGAGGCAAACCTAAGGGGGAGCGCGCCCCCCGGCCCGAGCAGGAGACGCCAGAGCTGCGGGCGCACGTGGCGGCCGCCTGCTCCAGCCGCGACGCGTTCTGCAGCCTCTGCCAGAAGCTGGCGGGCCGCCCGGGGGCGGGGGGGGGGACATCGGGACAGCGGCGCTCAGGGGCAAGGACCAGGGGGGGATAAGTACACATTGTTCATTTTCGGGTATTCGAGAAGTTGTTTGATTTTTTGGGGGGGCCGTTGGGGGGGGGACATCGGGACAGCGGCGCTCAGGGGCAAGGACAAGGGGGGGGGGATACACGTTGTTCATTGTTGGGTATTCGAAGAGTTGTTTGATTTTTGGGGGGCCAAGATCCTGCCATTTCTGAGTGTTCTATCCTGGGCCTCTTCCTGGCCACCAGGGGGCCAGGAACAGTTCGAGACACGGGCAGAAGCAGAGCTGAGCACGACTTCGAAACGAACGACGCGCAGGCTCAGGGGGGGGGGCGGGGGGGGGGGCGAGGTTCGAGCCTCGAGGTGCTCTGCATTGGTCGGCGGCTCCCGTCGCCTTTCCCGCCCCCGAGGCCCTTCCGCGGCCGGCGCCTGGCCCGAGGGCGCCCCCTTAAGGCGGGCCCCGGAGCGCCCCGGAAGACGGGCCCGTCGGAGGCCCGAGGGGCTGCAGCCCGCAGAAGGAGACGACTCGGCATCGCTCCTCCCCCTCCACAGTTACACAATATGAGAATACTCTCCCACTTCCCCTGATGGCGTCCCGAAGATATCCGACACCCCCCCGCGTATTGTTTTTTACACACAGGATTCCCGGGAAACGGGTTTTCGCTTGCGTTTTTTTTCCAAATGCTGCTCTCGCCGAGGCGCCGGCTTAATTTTCGGGCCCCGCTCGTTCCGAATCGTGCTCCCGCTGCAGCGCTGGCCTCATTTCCGTGCTTCCGCTCGTTCCGAATCGTGCTCCCGCTGCAGCGCTGGCCTCATTTCCGCGCTTCCGCCCGTTTCGACTCGTGCTCCCGCTGCAGCGCTGGCGTCATTGCCCGTGCCATGCCACAGCACACGCGCACACACGCACACACACACACCACCACCACTACCACCACCACCACCACCACCACCACCACCACCACCACCACCACCACCACCACACCACCACCACCAGCACCAGCACCACCAGCACCCACCACCACCAGCACCACCAGCAGCAGCAGCACCACCACCACCACCACCACCACCACCACCACCACCACCACCACCACCACCACCACCACCACCACCACCACCACAACCACGCACACACGCACGCACGCACGCACGCTCACCCACTAGTCCGCGGATAGAGAAAATCAGCGCCATGGTAAGGGATGGGAGGGAGGGGTAGGACGTCAGATATGACGCGCGCGCACCTAGCTTGTCCCCTCCCCCTCCCCTCCTCCTCCTCCTCCTCCTCCTCCTCCTCCTCCCCCTCCTCCTCCTCCTCCTCCTCCTCCTCCCCCTCCTCCTCCTCCTCCTCCTCCTCCTCCTCCCCCTCCTCCTCCTCCTCCTCCCCCTCCTCCTTTCCCCCCTCCCTCCTCCGGTGCGCCCCTGCGGCGGGCCGATGCCGGTGGCGGCAGTGGATTCCGCCTCGCGCCGCGCGGCGCTCGGCGTGGCGCGGGCAGCCCGCCTTTTTTCTCGGAAAGAAGGTGTGCCTTTTTTCTCGGCGAGAAGCCACGAGGACCATCCTGGACCGTCGAGGAGAAAAAAAAAAAGAAGCACGCACGAAGCCGAACAAATGCACGGGAAATGGACGTCCGAGCGACGGCAAGAAGAGGAAGAAGAAGAAGAAGAAGCGCAACGCCAGGGGGATTTGCTCGGGGGGAGCGGGCACTGTCGAGTGTGATTAGTGGGTCGAACTCTGCCACGTCAAGAAGAAGAAGAAGCAGCGCAACGCCAGGGGGATTTACACGGGGGGGAGCGGGCACGGTCGAGTCTGATCAGTGGGTCGGACTCTGCCAAGTCAAGAGTACCCATGTGCCCTGTCTTTCGCGGCCCGTGGTTTCGACATTCCCATGGCAGTGTGGCCCTCGGGAGGGTCTTGTGTCCTCTCGCGTGTCCTCTCCAACCAGATTCGATTGTACTGTTAAGAAGCGCCTTCTCGGCTGCAGGTAGGAGCTCGTGGAGAGGGGCACAGAAAGGATTGGCACGGACTCGCTGTCAGTTTGACATGGAAGGTCGCTTGTCCAATAGCGGCGGTTGTCGGTTTTGGACGACGTCTATGGTTGGACATGGTGCGCATTGATTCCTACCCACTTCTGGCGTGCCAATGAGCGACCCTTCGCAGGAGTGACCTTTTGATGCGGACTTCTTCCCAGCACTGACTTACGCGTTTGGACTTGGCCTTCCTGCAGCCCGCTAATGCCGCTTACCAAATGTCACCCTTACCTAGGGCCACTCTTGCGTGAACCGGCTTCCCAGGCGCGGCCTCGGGGGAGTCGTTGGGGAATTGTTCCCAACCATCCTGTGGTGTTGGGTCCTCGTTTTGAAGAGACAGCGCCCGCTCCCGCTCCCGCTCCTCCTCCCCCTCCTCCCTCCTCCTTCTCATCATCATCATCATCATCATCATCATCATCATCATCATCATCATCAGCAGCAGCAGCAGCAGCAGCATCATCATCATCATCATCATCATCATCATCATCATCATCATCATCATCATCATCGTCATCATCGTCATCATCCTCCATTTCGGCACACCCCTCACACGTTTCGTGGCCCCATAAGGGAGCCCCACCGAAGGCCCCAGTGCTGCCGCCCGCATGCGTCCCGCACACCCAATTCGGCACACCCCTCACACGTTTCGTGGCCCCATAGGGAGCCCCACCGAAGGCCCCAGTGCTGCATGCGTCCCGCACACCCAATTCGGCCCACACCCCATCACCGCACACCCAATTCGGCACACCCCTCACACGTTTCGTGGCCCCATAGGGAGCCCCACCGAAGGCCCAGTCGCCGCACACACCCTCGGCACACCCCACACGTTTCGTGGCCCCATAGGGAGCCCCACCGAAGGCCCCAGTGCTGCCGCCCGCATGCGTCCCGCACACCCAATTCGGCACACCCCTCACACGTTTCGTGGCCCCATAGGGAGCCCCACCGAAGGCCCCAGTGCTGCCGCCCGCATGCGTCCCGCACACCCAATTCGGCACACCCCTCACACGTTTCGTGGCCCCATAGGGAGCCCCACCGAAGGCCCCAGTGCTGCCGCCCGCATGCGTCCGCACACCCAATCGGCACACCCCTCACACGTTTCGTGGCCCCATAGGGAGCCCCACCGAAGGCCCCAGTGCTGCCGCCCGCATGCGTCCGCACACCCAATTCGGCACACCCCTCACACGTTTCGTGGCCCCATAAGGGAGCCCCACCGAAGGCCCCAGTGCTGCCGCCCGCATGCGTCACGCACACCCAATTCGGCACACCCTCACACGTTTTCGTGGCCCATAGGGACCCCACCGAAGGCCCCAGTGCTGCCGCCCGCATGCGTCCCGCACACCCAATTCGGCACACCCCTCACACGTTTCGTGGCCCCATAGGGAGCCCCACCGAAGGCCCCATAGCTCCCGCACACCCCGAAGGCCCCACGTTTCGTGCCCGAAGGCCCCAGTGCTGCCGCCCGCATGCGTCACGCACACCCAATTCGGCACACCCCTCACACGTTTCGTGGCCCCATAGGGAGCCCCACCGAAGGCCCAGTGCTGCCGCCCGCATGCGTCCCGCACACCCAATTCGGCACACCCCTCACACGTTTCGTGGCCCCATAGGGAGCCCCACCGAAGGCCCCAGTGCTGCCGCCCGCATGCGTCCCGCACACCCAATTCGGCACACCCCTCACACGTTTCGTGGCCCCATAGGGAGCCCCACCGAAGGCCCCAGTGCTGCCGCCCGCATGCGTCCCGCACACCCAATTCGGCACACCCCCTCACCAACGTTTCGTGGCCCCATAGGGAGCTCCACCAAGGCCCCGCTCCATGCGCCAACGCACACCCCATCGGCACACCCCTCACACGTTCGTGGCCCATAAGGGAGCCCACCGAAGGCCCCAGCGCTGCCGCCCGCATGCGTCCGCACTACCCAATTCGGCACACCCCTCACGTTTCGTGGCCCCATAAGGGAGCCCCACCGAAGGCCCCAGTGCTGCCGCCCACATGCGTCACGCACACCCAATTCGGCACACCCCTCACACGTTTCGTGCTGCCGCCCGCATGCGTCACGCACACCCAAGTCGGCACACCCCTCACACGTTTCGTGGCCCCATAGGGAGC